CAGTGAAGATTGAAATCTGAAGATAATTGATCGTGATTAGCACGCGCAGGAAAACTCTCGTCTGCTGTTCCTCACAATAAACACAGACTCCGCGGGAAAACTCTTCATCAAGTGAAAATGCACTGCGGTGAAGTGTGCTCAGTCTATTACGTTAAAAACCAGAAGCCCTTTTAGTAAATAAGTTCCCATTCGATGTAAACATTTTACAAGAGCAATATTGAAATACTCAGCGTCTGCTTTAGGAGATTTCTGCTTCTCGAGCAGACGAATTTCCCGATGTTGTTTCCCCGAATCAAAATAACCAGGATGAAATTGATCATTTATTATAAAGTCAAATACAAGTTGACATTCCGCTTTTTCCATTGCTAAAATCATATATCGGTGCCGCTTATGCCATTCACAAAAACATATTTCGGTGCCGCTTATGCCATTCATAAAACATAATTATCTCTGTCTATAATCGTTTCTAGTTTTATACCTTATTCGTAAACTATTAAGTATACGGCTCTGACTGTGATAAAATTCAAACCAGGAGAAAAATTATTGACTTCTGTCCATTAGTATGTTTACGACATATCAACGTAACCGCTTACGTTATCACACTTTCCTACGGTGACGTGCTGTCAAAAGGCGATAACATCATCCGACTGCACATTTCTGATCAAAATGTCATGCACCACTTTACAGTTTTGACCCAAACGAAACGCAATCCCGCTGTTCCTTTTATGAAGCAATATTATCCGGTGACCTGTTACTACATTATACTCTTCAAATATCATCATATTTAATTCTAAACGTTATTTAATGCATGTGGCGTGCTTTTATCGCCAGAATAAACAAGTCTTCACCATAGTCTTCGCCATTTCACGACATCCCATTGAGCAAAACACATAACTTTGTAGTTGCGCATTTCTCGACTTAGCATGCTGTGATATGCATCTAACTTAAATAGTTTTTAACGACATTTCGCTGTATGGGGTTTAATAATGCGATTTTATTTTCGTTACACTGTATTAAGGGGAACAAATTCGGAATTTTGAATGGAAAATCCTTTCGTACAGCAAATGATAAGGAACATAAAACAAACTTAAGATTTTCGTTTGCAGTCTGGTTTCTAAATCATAAGACAAAAAATGTCCCCCTTTGGAACAAGTTCTATTAAACGATAAAAGGGATACGTATTGAAATATGGCAGAGCGGGAGGTTATGTTCCAAGCATTTGATGTATACAATTCTAACAAATTGGTGTACAAAAAAAAATAAAAAATTACAAAAAATACGACACACTGTTTTGTGAAGCTCGTTTTCGCTGAAGGAGAATCAAATAAACCCATCGTTTTCGCTTCAGTTCGAACGGCTGCACATTATATGAACGTTCATTGAGACATCGTAATCATATCAAATGCTGACTAAAAGCTGTTTAAAATTTACGGCAAAATAATTATGCTTAAACCTAATAAAATGTTCAATGTCGACAAGTAGTCTTTCCATACAAATTTCACTAAATTGAAATAATATAGCAAAGAAGCGAGCAGAAGTAAACCGAAGGTCGGTTTGATGTTCATAAAATCACAATAGATTTTCAAGTCGCACAGAACTACTGGGAAATCAGTTAAAACTGAAATTTATGTGCTTTTAATTTATTGATGATACAAACTACAAAGGGGAATGGGAGAAAAAAAACGTGTCGCAATTATTTTTCTCCTTTCCTTTTTATGTCCTTTGTCATTGTTTGTTGTTTGTTTTATTATATTCCAATAGCAAGTCAAAGCGCTTAACTGAAACTGACTCAAACAAAAAAAAAAGAAAAATAAATCTTGTTTGATTTTGTATTGTAAATCTAATTCAACTCATATACATTGAATACAGAAAATATTAAAATAGAAAAAATTAACTCAATCAATTTAGTAAGGCGGACATATGCTGTAAATGACTGTATGGCACTTCCGTGTCTGTGTTGAAAATGATCACAGAAATTCCTTTAACAATTTCCGCATGTTTTTTAAACTTGCCTTTGTAAGGGCAATCCGCGGATCCGGATTTGTTCCGGATTTGTTTTCATTAACCCTCTTGAGCGGATATCTCCCTTGTTTTCAAAGCAATCAAATCTTGTGATTAATCAGTGAATGGACCGAAAGTAAACGAAACGTCACAAAGGAACCCAAAGTGCAATTAAGTTTGTTTAAAGTTCCAAAAAAATCAAAACAAACTGCGAACAGATTTTTCACACATTTTTAAAAATGATAATACAGATGTTTTGCACAAGGTTTTGATAAGATATTTGACGTGTTAGAAATATTTAGGTCAATATCATTGTTTATTAAAGTTTTTTCTTTTTCTTTTCCAATTCTTTAGAAGTAAATTCGATATTCGGAATATATTGGCGTTGTTCGGTGCACAGGAACAAAAAAGGAAAATGTCAATTAATTTCTGAAATTCTTAACCTTTGTTCAGATAAACTCATTATGCAAACATAAGATAACTTTGCCGACCTTAAATCAAAGACCTGTCATTTTGAAGATGATTTTTTCCCACTTTATATTAAAATAAGTAGACCAAAATTGCAATTTGAGGTATTCAAAAGTGAAATTCGTTAACATCTTTTTTATTTAATATGAGCAGCGAAGTTAGGTGATGTAAAATAGTAAAAGGTACTGTAATTATTTATGTCTTCCAACAGAAAAAAGTAGCACTAATTGGTGGTAACAATTGGTAAGAATGATCTAGAAACATTACGAGATACTCGAATCAGAAAATTGTATTAAACCTGAGAATATGACGATCGTAGATTATACGGTTCTCAAATAGAATCAATATTAGAATGACCTACCGCATATATGGCGAGTAATTAGCACTTTTGAATTATTAAACGTACGTTAATCAAAGCGTTCCCATAGCAACGCAGCCAGAATGTCACTGCACGTGACATTGCCTCTATTAAGAATCATTTACACAGAAATCTAAACTTGTAATAAAATAAATAATGCGGGCAAAATAAAATATACATGTATATATTGCCATTTAGATAATTATCAATAAATATCTATACATTGATTTGGTCCGCGTATCTGGGATTAAACTGTTAATTGTTGATATATTTTTATATTAGAAACTTTAAAACAGTAATTTTTATGTAGAAGCTATTTTTTCATGATTTTATTTGGCTGTTTGTTAACCAGTAAAGTCCTAATACAGAAACTCTTTCATTTGTACAGCAGAAATATTTGACTGCTTTTAAAATAAATTTTGCAGTCCTTAAAGCTGCATGCCTCTAGATGAGCCAAAATATTTCTAGAAAATCAACATGAGAAAAATGTACTAAGATTTTAAGAAAGAAAAAAGATTCAAGTAATAATCTGCATGTTATGTGCGATTAAAGACTGATTTGTGAAGTATTTACAACTATATATCTACTGCGTGACGAAAGCAGTACTGAAGGGTTGTTTTTGCATATTTTGATCTCTTTTTTGGTAATTTACGTAGACTGTAAATGCATTTTGCATTGAGTAATTTCTTTTTTTGGTCACTTATCAATGTTTTACTTTTCAAAATGATCATGAATCTGGAGGCGTGCTGTTTTAATTCGTCATTAAAAATAAGGAATAAAGTATATATGTTCTGCTCTCTATATCTCACAATGCTAATTACGTCACGTCTTATGATTGATATAAATTTTCTAATTACGCAGACGAAATCTTTTCTAGTAATTACCATCCGTAGGGTTTGACAAAGGGGGATTAATAATTCATAAATATAACGCGTGCTTATCTATAGCTGTAATAAACTATAAGAAATCCCAATCGTCGCCACCGACGTGTCAACCCAGACGTATAAATTGCATTTTGCCGACCAATTCGCCGCCGGTAAGACGGATGGTTCAGATAAAAACGAATTGACAATAAAATCTGACATGTTTTTAAAACAAATTAAATCCTGGAGGCTTAATTACACTTGGTTAATGTTTTGCAGCGAGATTTAAATGAATTATTTAGTCTGGCTTCGTATAGGATTTCTCTGTTTCATGCCATGAAAAAAAAAAACAACTGCGTTCGTTATTGAATTAATATCGGTTCTTCTCGATCTTTAAAGAAATATTTCTCTATTTTCATTTTGTTTTTAACTGATACTAGTAAGCCCCTAGTTCTTTAAAATTTGATTAAGAAAATCTATAAGATTGCACACACAAGCGTATTGATCCTGATAAGCCAATAAATAAATAAAATATTAGAATCTTCTGCAAAAGATGAGAAAGTCACGTGCTCCAGTGCAGTTAATAATGATTTATGGACAACAGAATTCTGGAAGTGTGCCCTGCCATGGTGACGTCTTGATTGATCGGAAGTGTCCTTTTGGATTCTGCCCGTCTCTTTTCCGTGTCAATACATTGTCCGGTATCGATTTTTTTTACGCGTGTCATCGATTTTTGGTGACATTTGGAGGAGTTTTGTGGCACATTTATTGCCTAAGCATCAGAAATGTTCTTGACTGAACTTAATAAATAAACAAACAATTCCCTGAACGAGATAAGAAGCTTGTTGGATGATGAAAAGTTACATAAAACCATAAATAAACATTCTAATGATTTTATAGACCCTAATATCTTGAGTGCGCAATCATTTAAGTACATTATGTGAAATTTGTCCCAGTTATGATTTTTCTTAAAACCGGTTTATTTTATGAAATAACATGAACTCTTCTTAAGTTAATTATATATGATTTAAAGTGAACATATAGCAAATATATAGCTAAATACTTTATCTGTCTATATTTGTTCTTGTGAGTTAAGTATTGATTAACAATAAATCATGGAAAATTGGAAATGTCGGGCATTAATGTCACGTGCATTGATTTATCCATTAAACAATACTGAATACAACAAATATCTTCTCTTCTCTCCCTGTGCTTAATATCACGATCTTAAGGAAGAAAATAGCATGTACGTAACAGGCTTAAATATGAACAAGCAAAAAATAAATAAATAAAATAATAAAAATACATACCATCAACTGACGTCAGGCTGTACAATATGATAAATATTAGCCCTTTGAACGGCCCCTGATGAAAGGGAACTCCCATGCTGATGGAGTCAATAAGCCGAGTCCAGTAATATTCTCAGTACATGTTATTCATCCGAAGTAAAATCCCAAGATATATCAATAACACTTTTTCTCTCAATCGCGAAAACGACTGTTATCACTATATAAACGATGAAACACTAATGGTTTCGACTAGAGTATAAACAAAGTGGTTTCAACGCGTAATCCTCAGCGCATCACACCTGATTTACTTAAACTCTCAACTTCTCCGTTTATACGAACTGACCGTTACATAGAAAACAACATACACTGCACGATCAACTATTATCTATGTTTATAAATGCAAATTGAGGGAGCATAAAACGTTTATACTTAATAAAAACCCTTAAACGTACTCCACTATTGACATGAATTCTCAAAGTACTACATGTAATGAAAAGTTAGATTATTCATACAACGAAAGGTGAGAGAACGATTTTGTATGGTTGAGCGATCTCAAAAGGCGGAGCGGAAGGCGTGGCAAACTTTGATATTGCCTTGCAGTGTTTGACTTGTCTAAACTTCCGACCGTAAAGATTTCAGACGAATAAATTGCATTTAGCGATATAATTATTGACTCGGGGTAATTTTGTGACCACGATATTAATGTAGATAATATTCTTATATTATGTTGATAAGAATAAATGAAATAATTGCAAATAATACGTACATACATGAGGCTGCACTTTTTGTTTTAAATCATTATTGTCTGATACTTAAATGCCATAATTATAATAATTCACCTATATGTAAATTATTGAAAATGTTCACAATATGCTTAAACTTAAATTCATTTAATAAGAAACATCTTAGTTACATTCACAGAATAAAACATACATTTAAAAAAAAATAAATCACGCATCATACACCCATATGGATATGGATCCATAACATGAGCTTCTGAAAACATAACATGCGAAATGGGCATTCTGTTCGCTATCTCGTTATACTGAAATAATGTTGTTATGTAACCTAGAAAGAGAGGAAAAAAATAAATAAATAAAAAAAACAAAAACAAAAAACGAAAGTTCGTATTTCAGTTTCATACCTGGCCTGGGTTCCAGTTTCCAGTCTGTCGATTTTTATGTGCTTCTGTTCGGCAAATCGACATATTTATATATATTATTATATCTTTATATAAACATATAAATAAATATTGATATTATCAAAACACGATTGAGTATGAAATAGCGCGTATGTTATGAATAAAAAATAAGCTAAAAATATCAACGCTAGTCCTAGGCTATTTCATACTCGTTGTTAGATAGAAGGCGATAACTGTGATATAATTTTTGATGTAATATCTTTGTTTTAGTTAATATGTACAAGTGTATAATCGTGTATAATCGTCTGTTTGCATAGCTAAAACATGCAAAGTGTTTAAACTTATTAAAAGTGTTTAAACTTGTTAACATTTTGTATAGCCATTGCTTTGATACAGTATAAAACGCCTGCACGCGCACAAAGCAAATGAAAACCAAAAAAATCGGCGTTACGATAATATTATATTGACCGGTAGTTCACTGCAGTAGATTGTTTAGGTAAATTTTGTGGGGAGGGCGCCTTCTTGTCTACAAACAAGAGATAGTATATAAAATATCGACCCAGTGAAATGTCCTACGGAAAAAAACACTCTCCTGTTCAATGCTGATCATAGCTTAGATTAGGAAAGCTTTGAGCTAGACAGTCGTGAAAAATATGAAACCTGAAAGGACAATATGCCTAAGTATTCTATTTCTAACTCATTACTTGTAATCTGTGTTTTGGCATAGACCCGACAGAGCGCACAAAGGACCAGCTCTTTGTTTTCCGGGTATCATTTTTTTAACAGTAGACAGTTAAATTGGATTTTTCAATAGTCGAGGAAACTTACAACATAATTGGCCTAATGAATGATATTTGTATGAAAGAACGATGTAAGTAAAGATTAATCGCGGACATTAGTTTCCAGGCTTCTAGATGTCGTCTGCTGTTTTGTTGATTGAAATCTGCTATGAAATAACAAAGTGGGTGATAAAGATAATGGTTATATCCTTATTTATTACAGACGGTAATAAATCAGAGCCCCCTTTGGCGAAACTGTTGACAATTACCTTTCTATTTCCCCAGAGTTATCTTCCTTGACGTTTGAAAGGCATAATTAATTTTGAATGTGGCATTCTGTCCTGATAGCATCAATATTGAAATATAAAACCTTTTCTTGTCTTTCAAATTAATTAAGAATTGGAAAGAATTATTTAAATAATCACAGGAGAATTCTACAGAAAAAAATCGCACCAAGTTCAGTTTTCTTGTTAGTCTAATTTTTTTTGACGTTTCGCATCGATTAATTGTTTTGAAATCTAAGTTTCTTAGCTTGTTTGTAAATGAAACGAACAAGTTAAGACTTTTGTTTTAAACTGAAGAACTACATTTAAGGTGAGCAATCTTTATATAGTTTAACAAATGAAATGAATTGTTTTTGAACGACTCTAGCTAAAGATGGTCGAATATCCTTCCAATGATCTTTTGACTTCCGGATAATGACTTACTTTAAGATGATCAACTACCTTTAAATTTATTTACAAACAATAAGACGACCAATTATCTTTAAGGTTATCGACAAATTAAGATTATCGATTAGCTTTTAAGATGTTAATCTAACTAAAACATGACCGAGATAGTATAACCATTTTGACTAACTTCAAGATTAATCGACTGTCTTAATGATGATCGACTAGCTTTAAGATGATCGATTACCTTTATGATAATCGACTACCTTCAAGATGATCGACTAGCCTAGCGTTATGATGATCGACTAGCTTTAAGGTTATCGAATAACTTTAAGCTGATTGACTAGCTTTAAGATGATCGACAAGCTAAACGGTGTTTGACTAGCGTTGTGATGATCGACTGGCTTTATGATAATCGACTAGCTTTCAGATGATCGACTAGCTTTTAGATGATCGACTAGCTTTAAGATGATCGACTAGCTTTAAGATGATAGACTAGCTTTAAGATGATCGACTAGCTTTAAGATGACCGACTAGCTTTACCATGATCGACTAGCTTTAAGATGATCGACTAGCTTTAAAATGATAGACTAGCTGTATGATGATCAACTAGCTTTAAGATGATCGACTGGCTTTAAGATGATCGACTAGCTTTATGATGACCAACTAGCTTTAAGATGATCGACTAGGTTTATGATGATCGACTAGGTTTAAGATGATCGACTGGCTTTAAGATGATCGACTAGGTTTATGATGATCGACTAGGTTTAAGATGAACGACTAGCTTTATGATGATCGACAAGCTTTTAAATGATCGACTAGCTTTAAAATTATCGACTAGCTTTAAGATGATCGAATAGCTTGATGATGATCGACTAGCTTTAAGATGATCGACTAGCTTTAAGATCATCGACTAGGTTTATGATGAACGACTAGCTTTAAGATGATCGACTAGCTTTATGATGATCGACTAGCTTAAGGATGATCGACTAGGTTTATGGTGATCGACTAGCTTTAAAATGATCGAATAGCTTTATGATGATCGGCTAGCTTTAAGATAATCGAATAGCTTTACGATGATCGACACGCTTTAAGATGATCGACTATCTTTAAGATGATCATCTAGCTTTAAGATGATCGACTAGCTTAAGGATGATCGACTGGCTTTAAAATGATCGACTAGCTTTAAGATGATCGACTAGCCATAAGATGATCGACGATAAGATGATCGACTAGCTTTAAGTTAATCGACTAGCCATAAGATGATCGACTATAAGGTTTAAGATGATCGACTAGCTTTAAGATAATCGACTAGCCATAAGATGATCGACTATAAGGTTTAAGATGATCGAAAAGCTTTATGATAATCGACTAGCTTTATGATAATCGACTAGCTTTAAGATGATCGATTAGGTTTATGATGATCGACTAGGTTTATGATCATCGACTAGCTTTATGATGATCGACTAGCTTTATGATGATCGACTAGGTTTATGATGATCGACTAGCTTTAAGATGATCGATTAGGTTTATGATGATCGACTAGCTTTAAGATAATCGAAAAGCTTTATGATAATCGACTTGCTTTATGATAATCGACTAGCTTTAAAATGATCGACAAGATTCAGTATAATCGACCAGCTTTATGATGTTCGACTAGCTATAAGAAAAACGAACTAACTTTAAGATGATCGACTAGCTTTAAGATGATCGACTTACTTTATGATGATCGACTAGCTTTATGATGATCGACTAACTTAAAGATGATCGACTAGGTTTATGATGATCGACTAGCTCTAAGATGATCGACTAGGTTTATGATGATCGACTAGCTTTAAGATGATCGAATAGCTTTATGATTATCGACTGGCTTTATGATAATCGACTGGCTTTATGATGGTTTTAAAATGATCATCATAAATATGATCGACTAGCTTTAGGATGATCGACTAGCTTTATGATGATCGACTAGCTTTAGATGATCGCCTAGCTTTGAGATGATCGACTAGCTTTAAGATAATCTACATGTAGCTTTAAGATGATCGACAAGCTTTAAGATCATTGAATAGCTTTACGATGATCGACTAGCTTTAATATGATCGACTGGCTTTAATGATCGAATAGCTTTAAAATGATCGACAAGGTTAAAATGATCGGCAAGCTTTAAGATGATCGACTATTGTTTTGATGATCGACTAGTTTTATGATGTTCGACTAGCTTTAAGATGATCGACTATCTTTAAGATGATCGACTAGCTTCATGATGATCGAATAGCTTTAAAATGATCGACAAGGTTAAGATGATCGGCAAGCTTTAAGATCATCGAATAATTTACAGATTAGCTTTAAAATTATTAACTCGACAAGCTTTAACAGTGTCGACTAGCTATGATTGATTAGCTATAAGATGATTGCCTGGAGATGATCGGCACTTTAACATGTACGACTACATGTAGCTTTAAGATCTACGGGGGTTTTAATTATTAACTAGCTTCAAAATGTTGGACAATGTTTGAGATTATCGACTAGCTTTTACAGTGTGGTTTAAGTATGATTGACTAACCATAACGTGTGATGGAGCTTAAAGATGTGCGTCGAGCTATAAAGTTATTGACTAACTTTAAGATGTACGACTATCTACACAATGACTGACTAGCTTTAAGTTGTTTGATTAGCTTAAAGATGCACGATGATCGACAACCTCTAAAATGCCCGACTAGCTTTAAGATGTACGACAAACTACAGGATACCCGACAAGCTTTAAAATATACGAATGGCTATAAAATGATTGACTAGCTTAAAGATGCTTGATCATCTCAACTAAAAAGCTTTAACATGATTGACTAACCGTAACATGATTGACCATCTATAAGATAATCGACTAGCTTTAAGAT